TCGTTACACCTTTCCTGTACCTGCCATCATTTGCTTTCCTCATACCTAATCTTTCCACCTTTCCTGCACCTCTCATCATTCACTATTCTCATACCTAATCTTTCCACCTTTCCTGCACCTCTTATCATTTGATTTCCCCTTAGTTAATCTTTCCACCTTTCCTGTACCTCTCATCATTCGCTTTCCTCATACCTAATCTTTCCACCTTTCCTGTATATCTCATCATTCACTTTCCTCATACCTAATATTTCCACCTTCCCTTTACCTCTAATCATTTGCTTTCCTTGTGCTTAATCTTTCCACCTTTCCTGTACCTCGCATCGTTCGCTTTCCTCATACCTAATCTTTCCAACTTTCCTAAATCTCTAATCTGTCTGCCATTTCTTTCCTTCCTATCTGTATGCATTCCTCCTCCTTTTAATTGTCTCTTTCCTCACATTACCATCATTCCTATACTTCTAAACTTTCATCAGTAGCCTTTCCGCCTCCTATCACCTATTTCTGTCCTTACCTTTTCACCTTTCCTATACCTTCAGTATGCCTTTCCTCTGTTTCTCATCACTTTATCATTCTAGTCTTCCTATTCCTCATATTTATCTAACTTTGCTCTCATGAATATAGAGCTCTGTTCCTATGTAACCAACCTTTACCTCTGCTACTTATACCACTCTACTCTATCCATACTAGCACTGACCCTAGCAGCTATCTAGATTTGTCACCGTCTTCTTCTAATATAGCCCTTGTCCCTATAATCTGTCTTGAAATTACTTCTTTAGTTCTTGTCTTTACTTTCCATTCAATCTAGATGTTTTACCATCTTCTTTTAATATAGCCCATCCCTGTAATCTATCTTGAAATTTCTTCCTGCCCCATGCCTTTACTAACTAGTCTATCTGGATTTTTTCTCTCTTCTTCTACCGGTAATATGTCCTAATAATCTAACTTGAAATTACTTCTTTAAGTCTTGTCGTTACTTTCCAGTCTGTCATTTGCTTTTAAGCTCTGCTGTCCTTCCTTTCTTGTCCCTTGCATCTAAATGATAGATTCTGTATATCATACCTGTATCTCCACTATAATGTACATCTATTCCATCTAGATGCGAATGATGAGAGGTATAGGAAAGGTGGAAATGACTTCTTGTGTTCCAAGTATATTCCTGCTCTTTTAGTCTGCCTTGTTGTTTGCTGTATTATGTACAGTATCCCAGATAGCAAGCAATTGAGCTGCAAGTTTGAAAATGACTTGCTAAACTATCGCAGACTTGCCAATCTTCACAATTTTGTTGCACAACTACATCAAGTCTGCATTGCAAGTCTCCAGACCAGCGAGCTTGTAGAGCTCTTGCTAAGACCTGCAGGACTCTTGCTGTAGACTTGCCAAGCAAATTTCCTACAAATTAAAAAAGTGTCAACTAGAACTTGTGCTGCGAGTGTTCTGCAAGTGTACAACTTGCCAGGAATATGTGCAGCATATGTGTTACCAAATGTGCTTTTGGTAAATCTAATCTAATTTGTCTTAAATTAAGTCATCTAGACTATCATACTTGTAGAGCAATGTCCACATAATTGTATGAAACGTTTTTTGTTCAAGGTATATTTCTTATGTGTGAGCAGCTCCTAAACTTTACATGCAGTTTACGTGCAGTTTCCTTAAGTCCCTTGTCACCTTTCATCTCTAACTATTTCAAAAATTGTAATTGATGATTGTCTATATATGTCATCCTTCTACCATTCAAATCATCAACTCAGCAGTCAATAATTAATCAATTATCAGCCTTACTTTACATCTTATCTACCCCTTATATTTACTGCCCGGTTATTGTACCTATAGCATTAGCTATATGCCATATACTGTAGCTATACATTGGGGTCAATTCACAAAGCTCAGCGTTATGAGAGTAGAAGTTAATTTATCTATCCTTATTTTACCACTCTTTATTTTACTGGCTGAAACATGCAATTCACAAAAGCCGGAATCGTTAATGCACACGCAGTTTAACGTTCCTTAAGCAAGTGTTATTTTAACATCACAGACTTTATTTTATCTATTGCTGTGATAAAATAACGTTTTGGGTGTTATTTTAACACTTTTGCAGTGCATTTTGGTAGCAGAAGGGGTGGAAACAAATGCCTAAATTACTGTTACTTTCACTTTCACCACACAAAAGGATTCCACATAGAAGAAAGGAATATATTCCATATTCGCCACATGCATACTAATTTTACATTTGGTAGAGAAGAAATCATATAGAAATAACAATAACTTTTTTTCTGAACGGAATGAATATATGAAACATTAGATTTATTTAGATCTACATCTGTTGACAATCAGGCAGTGTAGGGAGAGCAATCAATTCTCCTTACCACCTATAAAGCCTGTCTTGATATTAAATATGTTGCATGGAACAATCCACTTGCTCTACAACCCCCACTGAAGTGTGTCCAGGGACATTTGATTTTTCATGTCATGTGAGATTTGCCAACTGTAAAAAATCATCTACATTTGTAGAAGGATAAAAACTGTAGAAATGACAACTACATGCCATCTTCTTCTGTACGCAAAAGCATTAAACCATGTGAAAATGAAGAAAAAAAGGTTCCATTTTATATACCTCATGTCATCTCAGTGCAACAAGCATCAGATAACGCCTGAAATCTGTCATAACGCCACCCTGAAGGAGGTGATAAATCTACGTCTCAATAACGAGTGATAAAAGGACCTTTTCCTTTTGTGAATTGCATTTCAAGCATATTTTATCACTCCAGTTGTTAAAATAACGTCTGAATAGTTAAAATAACGTCTGAATAGTTAATTTAGCACTTCTTAAAAAAAGGAAGCGTTATTGAGTTTTGTGAATTGACTACCTCTAAACAGCAACTACAGTATATAACAAGCGATATCAATGAAATAACGGCCGAAATGAAGAAAATAAGCTTTGTGAATTGACCCCATTGAGGGTAATTTATCAAAACTGGAGAAGACAAAATCTGGAGCAGCTGTGCATGGCAACCAAGCAGCTTCTCTCTTTCATTTTCAACTCTTAACTGAACAAACTGAAGAGAGAAGCTGATTGGTTGCCATGCACAGCTGCTCCAGATTTTGTCTGCTCCAGTTTTGATAAATTCCCCCCACTGTTCTTATCATGTACCTAGACTCTCATTCTATATGTCATCTACCTATAGCCTCATTCTGCATCTCATCTGCGTACAGCTTCACTTTCCCTCTCATCTACTTACAGCCTCAACTTTATATTTACTCTACATATATCTCCACGATCCCTTCATTGCAACTCTAATTTATCTGACTGTAACGTCCCTGACCTTCTTAACCACCTACAGCTTTACGCTCCTTATCTGCCTATAGCTCTACTATTCACATCAGTGATTTTTAACTTTAACATCCAATGTATCTACTGTATCAATGGTTGCATTGTTCATTCTTTATAGTTACAGTTTTATTTTATATTACATCTGATTCTAGACTTTCTCTACATTTCATCTACAGATGACTTTCCTATCCTGTCCATCTACCTATTCCTTTGTTCATTCCCTTTTATTTTACATAGGTCTATAACTGTGTGTTCTTTCCTTTGTCTATTCCCTTTCTCTCCTTCACAATTTACACTTATCACATTCCATTGTGTCTCTGGATGAAGAAATAACATTTGTTTTTTTCCCCCCCGTATTAACGAATCATTTGATTGTCTGTGGATTGATATTTTTTCCCTCTAATGTTTTGCATTCTATTCATCCAGACAACCAGGGCACGGGTCATAAGGGAATATTTATGAGCAATAACATGGATGTCTATCAATTGAAACTGTTACAGAATGTGTATACATATTTTCCTTACATGTATAGAAGTAGCATCTCAGAATCAAAGTAAAAACTTTATTGCCTTCTCTATAAAATTAAAGTGCAAATAAAGGCACCTCCATGCAACTTCAGCAAGTGGGGATTTGTGAAGTCAGGGGGTCAGGCATTAAGTGAAATGTGTAAGTTACTCCTTCCTCTGTCCTTTTCCTCTGATTTTCCCTTGATAACAATGGTCAGAGAACCATTTGAGGTCTGTCTATTTGAACCTCTGTCTCCCTATTATTAAATCCCTAGAGGTTTTGGGGGAAATCTCCAATAATGGAGGTATGGAGCAGGGGTTTCATGTATTGACAGTATGGGGACAATAAGGTGAGTATCATTTACGAAACAACACTCAAATGCTCTTCCCCTTTACACTGATTCACAACTGAAGGAGTTGTATTGAGTTATCCTTCAAGAAATATGTTGTCTTAAAGTGACATTAAACCCTCAGATTTTTTAACATAAACCAATACTGTAATGTGTGCCTTACTGTAATCCATGGTAGTTTCCCTTCTCTTTGCTGCTCTTCCTTTTAATTCCTCATGTCTTCTCATGCTTGGGGAGAACTTCCCTTTGCAGCTGAGTGCCTCTTCCTGTAGTGCTGGATCAGGTTGCAAACTTACACACAGACACCATGTAGCCATTCAAGAGACAAGGCAGTCTGCTGCAAAACAGAAGTTCTGCCCAGTATGAGAACAGATACAGATTTAAAAGGAAGAGCAGCAAAGAGAATGGAAACAACCATGGATTACAGTAAGGCACACATTACAGTATTGTTTTATGTTAAAAATCGGAGGGTTTAATGTCACTTTAAGACTATGGAATACTGTGCCAGATCATGTCAGGCTGCCTGCAATAAAAATGCTTTAGTGTAGAGATACTTTTCTCTGGACAGGTCTGGCCATTGTACAGGTTTACTTCTGTCCATGGGGGATTTAGTATTTAGCAAACATGGTTTTAAACTTAAGATAGCAGAGCAAACTGCGGGACAATCTTATGTGAACTCTCTGTCTAGAATTGTCTCCAGTTGATTGTTGCTATGCTCTTGCCCTTACCACCTCCATTTTTAAATAATGTAATAATTTTCCTGTTAAATTCTCAATGATCTTTTCTCATCTCTCCCTGTTCAATGTATGATTGAAGAAGAGAAGCCAAAGCCCAAGTAAGTGTCATTCCTTGTACTCACTATGTGTGCACACACACACACATACATTCTCTGCTGTTTTCAGGACGTTTCACATTACACATAGCATTGTTATACTGTACATTGTGTAATTTATCAACCTTGATATGAATGCGAACAATGCTGACTGCCTTATGCCACATTCAGGATTGTCTGTATAGTATGGTATGTGGAGGCAACAGCTGTTCTCTGTAGAAGGCGGAGATGTAACCTCTGTGACACAAAGTTTTAGTATGGGTTTATTTTTGAGGACTATATATATATAT